AAAATGTGCATTATTTTTGACTTAATTCAATAATAATTAATCAAAAATTTGTTTATTAATTTTTTATTGTAACCGCGAGTTTTGACAGTTTTTTTCATTTTTTTGTTTTTATTATAAATACGTGCTTAAACATTTAAAAAAGGCAAGATTTACTACTTTTTTGCCTTGTTTTATTATTTTTTTTAGAAAAAAATTTGCAAAGTAGTTGCGTTTTTAGATGAAAAATGTGCTAAAATTGTCGAGAATTTTTAAAATAATATATTTTTTGACTTAATTTGTTTTTTAATTTGTTTAAGCAAAATTTTTCGAAAAAAATTAGGTTTTGTTACAAAAACTTTCTTAATAGAATTTTCGACCAAATTTTGCAGTTTCTCGGTATATTTTTGTTTTAATTTTCCTCAAAAATTAGTTAAGTTAAGTGAAACAAAAAAAACAAAATCTAATACATTTATTTTTGTTATTTTTACGCGTATTTGAAAATTTTTTTCAAAATAAAGGAGAAATAAAGGAGAAATAACAACTACGTCACACTTATCAAAGAGCTGCACAAAGAGTTTGATAAGCATGGTTTAAAACTAAACTAAAAAAAAGGAAAGTATTAATTAATTAATTAATGAAATAAAATAATATTAAGTAAAAAATAGACGAATAGGCGAATTGACAAATAGGCGAATAAACGAATACGCAAATAGACAAAAACGCGAATAGGCGAATAAACGAATAAACGAATAATCGAATAGACGAATAGGCGAATATGAATACAGGGAAGTTATGAGAGTTTAAATTTTACACTTTGACTTTATTTATTTCTGTTGAAAAAATAATTTTCAATTTTTTTTTTGCTATAGGCATTAAAAGAGAAAACAAAGAAACTGTATCCTAAATTGTAACTCTGTTCCATGTTATTTGTGGCTTTTATTGGCAAAATTTTTGTATCTTTACTAAATAATTGTAAAAAAACATATACAAGGTTATCAGTATCATTAAATAGGCATAAAAAATGTCAAATGTCAAAAAATAAATGTCAAAATTTTTTGACAGATAGAATTTTTTAAACATTTTTTCCATGTTCCTGTTACCTTACTTGAAAATTTTCTCTACGAGTAGATAACAAATTACTTAAAAAAAACTTGACTGATTTTTATCTACCAAACTCTCAAAGTATTCAAAAATAAACTGATGCAAAATTTTATTATCTGTTTCAAGTATGTATTATTTTAAGTCACGTCAATAACATTATTCCAACTGACCCTCGAAACCCTTCAAAATTGAAAACAATCGAGAGGATCTTCAGATAAGTCAACACAAACAACGTTATCGACCAAAAACAAGACTATAAAAACCACCACAAAATTTTGATTTTTAATAAATCTCACAATGAAAACGAGCGCAATCCTCGCCCTTTTGGCCCTTTCTCTCAGTCTTGCTTCCGCCGGAAACGTCGTCTGCTACTTCACTAGTTGGACGATTTACCGCGAGGGCGACGGCCAATTCGCGGCCAAAGATGTGGACCCCACGCTTTGTACACACATTTTGTACGCTTTTGTTGGACTTAATTACGATGGAACGATCAATATTTTGGACGATTGGGAAATCACCGGTCTCGGTAAGTCCAAATCTCGTTGGACTTCGGTATTATTATTTTATTCTTGTTGTGTTTGTTTTATCTCACAGGTTTTGGTAAGTCTAAATCTAGTTGAACTTATTTTCTTAGTTTTTATTTTATGGTTTTCTTATATTATAGGTGTTGGTAAGTCCAAATCGCGTTGGACTTATTTTTATTATTATATTTTTTTTACATTACAGTATTGGTAAGTTCAAAGCTCGTTGGACTTACTTATTAAACTTATTTTTATTTTTTTTTTGTTTTTTTTACATCACAATATTGGTAACCCCTAATCGAGTTGGACTTATTTTCATTATATTTATTTTAATTTTCATTGATTTACTTTACATAACAGGTTTCAATAAGTCTAAATTTCGTTAGATTTTCTTATTGAATTTATTTTTATTATTATATTTTGTTATAAACTCAAATCTCGTTGGACTTACTTATTAGACTTATTTTTGTATTATTTTTGTTTTTACATTACAATATTGGTTAGTGCGAATCGCGTTGGACTTGTTTTTATTATTATTATTTTAATTTTAATTGTTTATGTTTTAAATAACAGATCTTGGTGGTAAGTCCAAAACTCGTTAGACTTCTAATTAGATTTATTATTTTTTAAAATTTTTTGTTCTTCTTTTATCTCATAAGTTTTTTTGGTAAGTCTAAACCTTGTTATGTTTACTTATTAAACTTTTCTTTATTATAGTAATTTTTTTGTTTTTTACATTACAATATTGACTAGTCTGAATCGCGTTGGACTTAATTTTATTAATTATTTTAATTTTTATTGTTTTTGTTTTAAATAGCGTATTTTGGTAAGTCCTAATCTTGTAAGACTTTTCATTAAACTTATTTTTATTTAAAAAAAAATTTTTTTCTTGTTTTATATCAAATCTCGTTGGACTTACTTAGCAACCTTTTTTTATTATTAATTTTGTTTTTTTACATTACAATATTTCTAAGTCCAAATTGTGTTACACTTATTGAATTGATTTTTATTATCATGTTTAATTTTTTTTTTATTTTTTAACATCAAAATAGTGGTAAGTCTAAATCTCGGTGGGCTTACTTATTAAACTTATTTTTATTATAATATTTATTATTTTTTTTGTTTTTTTACATTACAATATTAGTAATTCCAAATCGAGTTGGACTGATTTTGAGGCATTTTTGTTATTATTTTTATTTTATAATTTTTTGTTTTTATTTCTTATTGCGGATCTTGGTAAACTTAAACCTTGTTGGACTTACTTATTAGACTTATTTTTATTATTACTTTTCGTTTTGTTTTTACATTACAACATTGGTAAGTCCAAATCTAGTTGGACTTATTGGACTTGTTTTTAGTTTATTGTTTTTTAAATCACAGGCTTTGGTAAGTCCAAACCTTGTTGGGCTTACTTATTAGACTCATTTGTATTATTGTAATTTTTGTTTTTTCCATTACAATATTGACTAGTCCAAATCGCGTTAGACTTAATTTTATTAATTATTTTAATTTTTATTGTTTTCGTTTTACATAACAGGTTTTAATTAGTCTAAATTTTGTTAGATTTTCTTATTGAATTTATTTTTATTATTTTTATTTTTTTTTGTTTTAAACCCAAATCTCGTCGGACTTACTTGTTAGACTTATTTTTGTTATTATTTTTTGTTTGTTTTACATTACAATGTTGGTTAGTGCAAATCGCGTTGGACATATTTTTATTATTATTATTTTTGTTTGGGTTTTAAATATCAGATTTTGGTAAGTCCTAATCTCGTTATACTTTTTATTGGACTTATAATTATGTTAAATTTTTTTGTTTTTCTTTTATATCACAGGTTTGGTAAGTCCAAATCTCGTTGGACTTAGTTATTATTATTTTATTCTTGTTGTGTTTGTTTTATGTCACAGGTTTTGCTAAGTTGGACTTATTGAACATATTTTTATTCCTATATTACAGGTCTTGGTAAGTCCAAATCGCTTTGGACTTATTTTTATTATTATAATTTTTCGTTTTTTACATTACAGTGTTGGTAAGTTCAAACCCGATTGGACTTACTTATTAAACTTATTTTTATTATAATATTTATTATTTTTTTTATTTTTTTACATTACAATATTGGTAACTCCAAATCGAGTTGGACTTATTTTTATTTTTATTGTTTTTGTTTTACATAACGGGAGTTGAAGTCAAAATTTCGTTAGATATTCTTATTGGATGTCTTTATTATTTTTTTTTTTTCGTTTTTTGTTTTTGTTTTGTTTCATACTACAGGTTTTGGTCCAAATCTTGTTGGACTTACTTACTAAACACTTTTGTTATTATCTTTATTTTTCGATTTTTCGTTTTTATTTCATATTGCGGGTCTTGGTAAACCTAAATCTTGTTGGACTTACTTTATTAGACTTATTTTTATTATTACTTCTTATTTTGTTTTTCATTACAATAATGGTAAGTGCAAATCGCGTTGGACATGTCATTATTATTATTATTTTAATTTTTACTGTTTTTGTTTTAAATAACAGATCTTGGTAAGTCCAAATTTCAATTGGATTTATTTTTAAATTTTTTGTTCTTGTTTTATCTCATAGGTTTTGGTAAGTCGAGTTGGACTTACTGGACTTATTTTTATGTTATTGTTTTTTTAAATCACAGGTTTTGGTAAGTTCAAACCTTGTTGAACTTATTTATTACACTTATTTTTATTATTGTAATTTTTTGTTTTTTACATTACAATATTGGTAAGCCCAAATCGCGTTGGACTTATTTTTATTAATTATTTTAATTTCATTGTTTTTTTTTCATAACAGGTTTTAATAAGTCTAAATTTTGTTAGATTTTCTTATTGAATTTATTTTTGTTATTTTTTTTGTTACAAACCCAAATCTCGCTGGACTTACATATTAGACTTATTTTTGTGTTATTATTTTTTGTTTTTTTTTACATTACAATATTGGTTAGTGCAAATCGCGTTGGACATTTTATTATTATTATTTTAATTTTTATTGTTTATGTTTTAAATAACAGATCTTGGTAAGTCTAAAACTCGTTAGACTTCTAATTAGATTTATTATTTTTTTAATTTTTTGTTCTTGTTTTATCTCATAAGTTTTGGTAAGTTCAAATCGAGTTGGACTTATTGGACTTATTTTTATGTTACTGTTTTTTTAAATCACAGGTTTTGGTAAGTCTAAACCTTGTTATGTTTACTTATTAAACTTATCTTTATTATTGTCATTTTTTGTTTTTTACATTACAATATTGATTAGTCTGAATCGCGTTGGACTTAATTTTATTAATTATTTTAATTTTTATTGTTTTTGTTTTAAATAGCGTATTTTGGTAAGTCCTAATCTTGTAAGACTTTTTATTAAACTTATTCTTTTTTTTTATTATTAATTTTGTTTTTTTACATTACAATATTTCTAAGTCCAAATTGTGTTACACTTATTGAATTGATTTTTATTATCATATTTAATTTTTTTTTTATTTTTTAACATCAAAATAGTGGTAAGTCTAAATCTCGGTGGGCTTACTTATTAAACTTGTTTTTATTATAATATTTATTATTTTTTTTGTTTTTTTTTACATTACAATATTGGTAACTCCAAATCGAGTTGGACTTATTTTTATTATTTTTATTTTTATTTTTATTGTTTTTGTTTTAGATAACGAGGGTTGAAGTCAATAATTTTGTTAGATATTCCTATTGGATTTGTCTTTATTATTTTTTTTTGTTTTTGTTTTGTTTTATACTACAGGTTTTGGTAAGTCCAAATTTTGTTGGATTTACTTATTAGACATTTTTGTTATTATTTTTACTTTTTTATTTTATATATATTAGACTTATTTTTATTATTACTTTTTGTTTTGTTTTTACATTACAACATTGGGAAGTGCAAATCGCGTTGGACATGTCTTTATTATTATTATTTTAGTTTTTATTATTTTTGTTCTAAATAACAGATCTTGGTAAGTCCAAATCTCAATTGGATTTATTTTTATTTTTAAATTTTTTGTCCAAATCTAGTTGGACTCATTGGACTTATTTTTATTTTATTGTTTTTTTAAATCACAGGTTTTGGTAAGTCTAAACCTTGTTAGGTTTACTTATAAGACTTATTTTTATTATTGTAATTTTTTGTTTTTTACATTACAATATTGACTAGTCCAAATCGGGTTGAACTTAATTTTATTAATTATTTCAATTTTTATTGTTTTTGTTTTATATAACAGGTTTTAATAAGTCTAAATTTTGTTAGATTTTCTTATAGGAGTTATTTTTATTATTTTTTTTTTGTTTTAAACCCAAATCTCGTTGGACTTACTTATTAGATTTATTTTTGATATTAGTTTTATTTTTTTTACATTACAATATTGGTTAGTGCAAATCGCGTTGGACATATTTTTATTATTATTATTTTATTGTTTTTGTTTTAAATATCAGATTTTGGTAAGTCCTAATCTCGTTGGACTTTTTATTGTACTTACATTTGTTTAAATTTTTTTTTGTTTTTTATCACATGTTTTGTAAGTCCAAATCTTGTTGCGCTTACTTTGTAAACTTTTTTTTGTTATATTTTTTTGTATTTTTACATTTCAATATTGATAAGTCCAAATTGTGTTACACTTATTGAATTGATTTTAATTTTCATATATATATATTTTTTTATTTTTTAACGTCAAAATATTGGTAAGTCTAAATCTTGTTGGGCTTACTTATTAAACATATTTTTGTCATTATGTTTAGGTTTTATTTTTTTTGTTTTAATTTTATATTGCGGCTCTTGGTAAACTCAAATCTCGTTGGACTTACTTATTAGACTTATTTTTGATATAATTTTTTATTTTTTTTACATTACAGTATTGGTTAGTGCAAATCGCGTTGGACATATTTTTATTATTATTATTTTATTGTTTTTGTTTTAAATATTAGATTTTGGTAAGTCCTAATCTCGTTGGACTTCTTATTGGACTTACATTTATTTAAAAAAAATGTTTTTATTTTTTATCACATGTTTTGTAAGTCCAAATCTTGTTGCGCTTACTTTGTAAACTTTTTTTTGTTATATTTTTTTGTATTTTTACACTTCAATATTGATAAGTCCAAATTGTGTTACACTTATTGAATTGATTTTAATTTTCATATTTATAATATATTTTTTTTATTTTTTAACATAAAAATATTGGTAAGTCTAAATCTTGTTGGGCTTACTTATTAAACATTATTTTGTCATTATGTTTAGGTTTTATTTTTTGTTGTTTTAATTTTATATTGCGGCTCTTGGTAAACTCAAATCTCGTTGGACTTACTTATTAAACTTATTTTTTTTATTATTTTTTTACATTACAGTATTGGTAAGTGCAAATCGGGTTAGACATATCTTTATTATTATTTTTAAGATTTTGGTAAGTCCAAATCTCGTTGGACTTTTTATTGAACTTTCTTTTATTATTAAAATTTTTTGTTCTTGTTTTATATCACAGATTTTGGTAAGCTCAAGTCTCGTTGGACTTACTTACCAAACTGTTATTATTATTTTTGTTTTTTTACATTACGTGATTGGTAAGCCCAAATTGCGTTGGACTTATTTTAATTTTAATTTTAATTTTTGATTTATATACCAGGTCTTGGTAAGTCTAATTCTTGTTGGACTTTCTTATTTGTCTTTCTTTCTTATTTTTGTTTCTATTTTTTGTTGGACTTAATTTTATTAATATTTTTATTTATTTTGGATTTTAAAGTTAATCATTTCTTAGAGGAAGTCAAGCATTTGGTAAGCCTTAAGTCCCAAAACCCGAATTTGAAGTTGTTGCTAAGTATGGGAGGGTGGAACGAGGGCTCGACCACCTACTCCGAAGTTGCAAAAAATGCTGGTAAAAGGGCAACTTTAGTATCCAGCGTTTTGGACTTCTTGAAAGAGAACAATTTCGATGGGTTTGATTTGGACTGGGAGTACCCAGGACAACGGGATGGAGACGAGGAGAACGATCCTGTAAGTCCAATTATTTTACCATTAATTAATTTTTTTTTATTTTTTTTGTAAAGGACAATTTTATCACACTTTTGGGTGAACTCAAGTCGGCGTTGAATACCAATGGGTATCTCCTGTCGGCAGCTGTTTCTGGGGGTGTTGAATCCATTGATATTTCCTACCCCAATGCCAAGGCCGTCTCTGAGTTAGTTTTAAAAAAATATTTTGGTGTTTTTGGGGTTTATTGTGTTGTTTTAGCAATTTGGATATGATTAATGTGATGACGTATGACTACCATGGGGATTGGGAGCAATGGGTGGGTCAGAATGCCCCTCTCTACCCCTCACATTTGGACGAAACTCAGGATCTCAATGTTGTAAGTTTTTGTAATTTCGGATCAAAGAAGTCTTTGATTTTGACGAATATTAGGTTGGCAACATTGAATCAATTCTCTCTAGATTTTAAACTCTGCTCTGTTCTGTAAAATTTTTCGGATTTTCTAAAATTACATTTTTTGTATAAAATTTTTTCTATATACAAAATTTTAACACAATTTTGTAATATTTTTTTTATAAATTTTATTCTAAATTCTTTTTTTTTTAATTTGATTAGATCTAGATTTTTATTTGATTATT